CGACTGGCAGATGACTTAGGAACAAGAGACTCCATTGACATAAAAACTATTTTTTTTTAACTATTTAATTGGCCGAGACTGAGAAATGGCCAAGACTGAGAACGTGCAGTCCTAAGTTATCAGGGTTTCACCTGGTGAGAGTTTGGGGAAACATATATATATATATATTTAATAAAAATACTACTGGCAGATGACTTAGGAACAAGAGACTCCATTGACATAAAAACTAGACTTTTTTAAACCATTTAATTGGCCGAGACTGAGAAATGGCCAAGACTGAGAACGTGCAGTCCTAAGTTATCAGGGTTTCACCTGGTGAGAGTTTGGGGAAACATATATATATATTTAATAAAAATACTACTGGCAGATGACTTAGGAACAAGAGACTCCATTGACATAAAAACTAGATTTTTTTAACCATTTAATTGGCCGAGACTGAGAAATGGCCAAGACTGAGAACGTGCAGTCCTAAGTTATCAGGGTTTCACCTGTTGAGAGTTTGGGGAAACATATATATATATTTAATAAAAATACGACTGGCAGATGACTTAGGAACAAGAGACTCCATTGACATAAAAACTAGATTTTTTTAAACCATTTAATTGGCCGAGACTGAGAAATGGCCAAGACTGAGAACGTGCAGTCCTAAGTTATCAGGGTTTCACCTGTTGAGAGTTTGGGGAAACAAATATATATATATATACATATATTTTAATAAAAATACTACTGGCAGATGACTTAGGAACAAGAGACTCCATTGACATAAAAACTAGATTTTTTTTAACCATTTAATTGGCCGAGACTGAGAAATGGCCAAGACTGAGAACGTGCAGTCCTAAGTTATCAGGGTTTCACCTGTTGAGAGTTTGGGGAAACAAAGAAATAAATAAATATATATATATATTTAATAAAAATACTGCTGGCAGACGACTTAGGAACAAGAGAGTCCATTGACATAAAAACTAGATTTTTTTTAACCATTTAATTGGCCGAGACTGAGAAATGGCCAAGACTGAGAACGTGCAGTCCTAAGTTATCAGGGTTTCACCTGTTGAGAGTTTGGGGAAACAAATATATATATATATACATATGTTTAATAAAAATACTACTGGCAGATGACTTAGGAACAAGAGACTCCATTGACATAAAAACTAGATTTTTTAACCATTTAATTGGCCGAAACTGAGACATGGCCAAGACTGAGAACGTGCAGTCTTAAATTATCAGGGTTTCACCTGTTGAGAGTTTGGGGAAACAAATATATACATATATATATATTTAATAAAAATACTACTGGCAGATGACTTAGGAACAAGAGACTCCATTGACATAAAAACTAGACTTTTTTTAACCATTTAATTGGCCGAGACTGAGAAATGGCCAAGAACGTGCAGTCCTAAGTTATCAGGGTTTCACATGTTGAGAGTTTTGGGGAAACAAATATGTATGTATATATGTATATATACATATATATATATCTTTAATAAAAATACTACTGGCAGATGACTTAGGAACAAGAGACTCCATTGACATAAAAACTAGATTTTTTTTAACAATTTAATTGGCCGAGACTGAGAAATGGCCAAGACTGAGAACGTGCAGTCCTAAGTTATCAGGGTTTCACCTGTTGAGAGTTTGGGGACACACATATATATATATATTCAATAAAAATACGACTGGCAGATGACTTAGGAACAAGAGACTCCATTGACATAAAAACTAGATTTTTTTTAACCATTTAATTGGCCGAGACTGAGAAATGGCCAAGACTGAGAACGTGCAGTCCTAAGTTATCAGGGTTTCACCTGTTGAGAGTTTGGGGAAACAAATATGTATATATATATATATTTAATAAAAATACTACTGGCAGATGACTTAGGAACAAGAGACTCCATTGACATAAAAACTAGATTTTTTTTAACCATTTAATTGGCCGAGACTGAGAAATGGCCAAGACTGAGAACGTGCAGTCCTAAGTTATCAGGGTTTCACCTGTTGAGAGTTTGGGGTTAAGAACACACACACACATATATATATATATATTAGCCACTGAGGGTGGAGCTGGATGACTTAGGCAGCTTTAGCGGATTAAAAATTAAGGGGTGGCCTAAGTCATCATGTTTTGATATCTTGGAAAGGGGGGGGTGCACACATGTTTTCCCAGTCTCTTGAAGGTATCTTGTTCCTATCTCTCGCGTTTTTTTTCAGGTGTCTTCCGGGTGTTCGGTGAACTGCGTGTTGTAAAGACTACATGACTTAGGCCACTTTCATATAGTTCTTCTTATGTCATTGGGCCCTCTTGGGCCTAAGTCATCTGCCGGCAGTATAGATATGATATGATATGATATGTTTTGATATGATATGATATGTAGCTATAGGTATGATAATATGATATTATATGATACATATATATATATACATGTTTACGAGCAGCAATGGTGGGAACACATGGGATCTTCGTAGCGATTTGCATTCGCTTTGCAAATCGTTCGAATTTGAGGTGGCAAAACAGGTTTTAGCTCCGACCCGTCAAAGCGTCTGGAGAGCCGCATTGCAATTCTCTTTCAGCATTGTCAGACCTTCTCAGACCAAGCAGAGGCAGGGAGTGGACTCTGGGAAGAAATCGCGGGAGGAACAGAGAAATCTTTTCTTATGACCGATGCCTCTTGAATCTGTAGAAACTGACGGTGACTTGGCAAAGCAATGGATTGCAACAAGCAAAGAAAAAAAACATGTCTTTCTATAGCGGACATTTGTGGATTCTGTGGTATGTTCCGCTCTACTCAACGAGTCTCGAACTCTTCGTGCGAGGCACAGCAGGACCTTTGCACATTGCTGGATCGCCTGATTTCAACGGTTTCCCTCATGAGCGCTGGAAGCGGGGAGAAGGACAATAAACGAAGCTGATCGAAGTGCATCTGCAACCGAACAGAAAAAGTTGAAGATGCCAGAATATGCTTATAGTATCTTATAGTGATTATGTGACTATAAGAATTATACAGTAGATATCTATATCTATTTGCTTATAATGCAGAATTGCTTCGAATTGTGAAGATGCAAAATTGCTTAGAATTGTAGCTGGGTTAGTGGAGTGTAAGGTTGAAGATGGCTGCTCTCAGTTCGACATTGTACATAGGCACTGGTTGAATCTCTGCTGTTCATTCAGCAGCGTGGCCTGTACTGCTGTTGATTTGCCGATTGATAGGGTTAAGCTGATTTGGTGAAGGCCTCTTCAGAATTTCAATGAATTTGATACCTGCCCACCATGGCTGCCCCACAAAGCTCCCCAAACAAATCACATAAAACACACCTATTTGAAAGGACAGTGCCTCTGTATCACGCGACAAGATGTTTCCGACACATTGAGCCCTGGGACCGAATCTACGCATTGTTTGCATTGGTTGGCACAATAGGTGGCTTCAACGGCTCTTGGGCCAAAAGCAGTGTCATCGTCTCACTCCAGGATCTCTAAGCCAAAATTTGGCTTTTCCGAGATTTCCCAGAATATCTCGCAACATCGCCATGCAACATGGTAAGAATGAGAAAGAGCAGAGTACATCATGTGGCCACATATAAGGACCTACCTCAGAGCGCAGGTTTGCAAGAGCTGCGGGTGTAATTAAGCCCCGAGGGAATCAGTGGTACTATGTGGTATTGTTCGGTATTGTAATGTATTGTATATTTCATCAATGTTGGTCCACTGGATTGAGAAGTCTTCGGATTTCCGATTTGATGTTGTTGCTGCGGGTTTTGGATCGTTGAAGAGACACATGGAAAACACATCCACGGCAAGGAAGGTCAGATGTATGTTTCTTCAACCTGTGGAAGGGCAGGGTTCGGCAATGGCTTCCTATAGATAATTATAGATATATGTAGGACAGAGGATGCACACCAACTGAAGATCACCCAGCATACAAAATCTATCAGTTCGTTTCTCGGCATTGCTTTGAGCCGTATCATACCGGTACCATACGTAGCATTGACGCATGGCTGTTGCTCCAAAGTGTGCTGTTTGTTTAGACACGGCATTGTCTCAAACGGAAATTTAAACACCTTTGGAGCATTGGGCCTTTAAATCTAACGATGAAATAAGTCATGTGGCGCCATGGAAGCCTCGTCGGAGTCTTTGAATCAGCGTGTCAGCCGCTGCCTTCTTTGGGAGAAGGTGAAAGAAGGTCATGTGCATTTGATAACAGCCGAAGATATCGAGGAGCTGTTCCACGCCTTCGAAGTTTATGACCCGGATTTGATCCCAACGTCAGAACTTGTAAGACTGTGTGGCGTAGATGGAACTCATCTATCTGCCGAAGAGATCGCCGACTGGATCAAGGATTCAGATAAAAATGGGACCGGTGAAGCCAGCATCGAGGATGTGCACCGAGGAATCACTGAAGGTTCAGCGGCATTTGCTCTGGTCAAAAGAGCTCTGTTTGGCGAAGAAAAGGAGCCTTTTTCATGTTTTTGCAGTGGACTGTTGTTAGTTTGAAATGGAGCCATGACAACTTATCAAAGAAGTTCAGGGGCTGAGCTCCAAAATTGCTGGAATGGTTGCTACGCTGCTGCATTTTTGAAATTTGTCAGGAGCACAAAATTACAGAGTGCAGCATTCATGATCTCCTCCACTGGATGCACTATGAATATGATCCTGGGCTGGATAGCGAGGCGAGGGGTGTGATACAGTGATCTCCATGTTGTCTTTCTTGAATCGTTTTGAGTCGAGAATCACTGTGCCAGATTTGCCAAGCCGAGGACAAGAAAAGCAAGTTATGGTCTTTGCCAGAGACTCTCTTCCTTTTTGCGGCTTTTGTTATATCCGTGGTATTACATCTCAATGTCTGGGAGGCCTTCAAAAGTTCACGCGTCTACACGGTAGCCTTGACCTACGGCGCCCTTGCTGGTGTTGAGATTTTTTTTTTGCCTGCGCTGAGGGGGAAATTACCAAGATGTCAGCAACATGAAGCAGATATTTGCTCCAAGAAGGCCGTACAATGATTTGCATA